AGCATGTGCATTTTGGTATGTATTATTTGGCTGCAAAACTGTGCTGCAAAATTCAGAGAAGAGCAAATTTCGAAGAACGGCTGTGTTTCATTCTGCGTATTGTTTCAGAAAGTGCAAAATAGGGAAATTTGAGAGCCAATGTGGTGTAGTGGTTAAGAGCAGTAGTCTTGTAATCTGGGGAACCGGGTTCGTGTCTCCGCTCCTGCACATGCAGCTGCTGGGTGACCTTGGACCAGTCACACTTCTTTGAAGTCTCTCAGCCTCACTCACCTCACAGAGTGTTTGTTGTGGGGGAGGAAGGGAAAGGAGAATATTAGCCGCTTTGAGACTCCTGAAGGTAAGTGAAAGGCGGGATATCAAATCCAAACTCTTAAATTTGCCTTAAAATGCAAATGGGATTGAATGGGTGGTGTTCAATGCTAGTCCTACTCAAAGTAGACCAACAGAAGTTAATGGGCATAACTAACTGGGCATTACTAGCAGGAACCACTACTGCATATTTCTTACTCTCATAGGAACCACATTGGTATTTTTATTTTGCAAAAATGAAAGAAGTCTGGCTCCGGGACTCTTAAGAGAACTGGAATAACTGCATGTTTACAATGCAAAATAAAATGAGCAAATAAATGAATAAGGGTAGAGGAAGCATCTGGAAAACTATATAAAAAAATTATTTAATCTGAAAATTTGCTTGTTGTGAATGATGAACAAGTTGTACCTTAGCCGTTTTGAAAAGGAGCCTTTTCAACTTGGCAGTAACATAACATTACATCCAGATTCCTCTAAGCCAAGAATTTCAATGAAGATCAATTAAGTCTCTCTCTAATTTAGTGGCCTTCTGCCAGCCTTTGGGCACGAAGAAGCTGGCAAAGAAAATGATATTCAATTGACTTTTGAGGATTTGATGCCAGCCAGTGCATATTAATCAGCTAATAGCATGCACCCAACAGGTACCATGGGATCTCATTAATAGTGGTACGTGATTAATGCAATGATGAAGGGAGCGACCCAAAAATTACAGTTGATGTGGGTCTGTGCGGACAAACAGTTCACAGGCAACCACACATATCTGTCACTTTTTGGGCTCCTCTATGCCATTTTTTCTAATATGCCTTTGAGACAGCAAAGTGAGAAAGGGAGGGAGACAGAGAAGTGCAGGATTATTAATCATAGAGAAACATTCTGTTACTCAGCAATAGATGGCTATCAAAATAAACAACACAATAGTTGAGTTGGAAGGGACCCTGAGGGTCATCTAGTCCAACCCTCTGCAATGCAGGAATCTCAATTAAAGCATCCATGACAGATGACCATCCAACCTCTGCTTAAAAACCTCCAAGCAAGGAGAGTCCACCGCCTCCCGAGGGAGTCCATTCCACTGTTGAACCGTTGTCAGAAAGTTCTTCCTGATGTTTAGCTTTTCCATGGACCACCTGAATAGAGCTTCAGACCACCAGTGGTCTATAGACCACAGATGGAAAACCTCTCTGGTAGCTGTGAATGCCCCCTGCAGAACCATCTTTTAGCCACTGGCTAAACAAAAGCCTTGAGAAAAGGTCATGTCCTTACTCTGCAAGGCCATAAAATAGCATTTTTGTTGCTGCGTGTTACACTGAAACCATTAATTTGGCCCCAAGTGTAGACAGGTTTGGCCACTACCAACCAGGGGACAATGTTCCTTCCATTCTCCTAAAGTCAATACCAGCTCATTGGCCAAACTTCTGAAATATCAAGTTGATCCCCACACACCTTTATAACTGCTTATATGCTGGAAACAGCAGGCCGAACGTCAGCCTTTTGTCCCTGTAGCCTGATATTCTGTTACTTTTTAAATATATTTTTAATGTGCTTGCTTCTTTTTATTTTATTTTCCATATGTTAAATGTTGAGGTGGCCGGATGTGTAGGAACTCGTTTTAAAATCTCAGCGCATCCGGAATATGACTCGTGCACTCCTATATGTAATTGCCCATGTGGAAGTTCATTTAGCAAACATTTCCAAGGTGGTTAAGTGCTTGTTAAATAAATCTTTATACGACTGCTCAGATTGCCTGTAGGCTTGCAAAGGATCCCACTGCTCTCAGAGCCATCTGTTAGAACCTGGGCCGCACTGACTCATGATGAGAAACATGAGGAACAGCTCATTCGCAAGCATACTAATTCAAATTGGCTGGAGTTGTCCGTAAGCCAGTGAAAGAATCATATTCAGAGATGACATCAACTGCAGCAGGAAGTCTACTGACCCCAGATCTGTGGCTGGTGTGTAATTCAGTAACTCTGCTTAAAACTAAGGCTGTGGACACAAGTTTTATTCTATAATCAATGGAGTCTGAGTACTTCTTTTTCCTATGTAGTCCACACACACAGAGGCTAGATCTATTGCATGCTTTTTTTTGGCTGCTTGAGAAACTGGTTTCATCTGGAAATAAAAGCTTGTAGATTGATTCTGTGTTACCCTGCAGTGTGACCATCTGAAAACATATGTAGGTAGTCTCAGCAATGGAGGAGAGGTATCTGCATACCTGCCTAATGACATTAGTGGATGGGCACATAAGGTAAAGGTAAAGGGACCCCTGACCGTTAGGTCCAGTCGTGGCCGATTCTGGGGTTGCGGCGCTCATCTTGCTTTATTGGCCGAGGGAGCCGGCGTACAGCTTCCGGGTCATGTGGCCAGCATGACTAAGCCGCTTCTGGCGAACCAGAGCAGCACATGGAAACGCCATTTACCTTCCCGCCGGAGCGGTACCTATTTATCTGCTTGCACTTTGATGTGCTTTCGAACTGCTAGGTTGGCAGGAGCAGGGACAGAGCAACGGGAGCTCACCCCATTGCGGGCATTTGAACCACCGACCTTCTGATCAGCAAGTCCTAGGCTCTGTGATTTAACCCACAGCGCCACCATACTGAGATCATAATTACCACTTCCTTCTTCCTTCACCTGGGCATGTGTAGAGAAGAAAAGTAATGGATAACGTAATCAAGAGCAGGGTTTTTAAGTGTGCATCAAATAACTATACCCACCTTGTGGGTCACAGAATCTAGACTAAATCTATTCATCATCATAATCATCA